GTATGGGTTTAAAAGTCTGGGGGAAGTTCCCTGGGAAGTTGGCTGCAGAGAGATGCTGAGCATTTCAAAGTCTTTAAAAGGATGGGATTGAGCAATGAATGTGCATAAAGCACTGTATTATACAACTAGCAACATTTTATTATCTCTATGAATTTTTCTGAATAGTACCTAAGGTATTGCAGGTAAATCCTGAAGATTTTGTCTCTGGTTAACATTTTCTTAATAGAATAATTCTTGGGTTTTTATGATCCAATCTCCAGAAAATATGTGCATCAATTGGTGCAACATTTTCCAGCTAAATTTTGTATAAGAAAAATTGATATATGCATGTCCAAATCTCAGTATGAATCCATTAATAAAAATACGCATGAGCTAAGTCAAGTGACATACTAAGAATGGTTGGTAAAAGATGAGAATCGCATATTTTTTTCAGAGAGCACAGGCCACAGATGTTGCAGGTGCAAAAAAGAGGCATCACTGGGTCATATATGTCATACAATAAGAAAAAAGTTTTAACAACACATTAATTGTGTGCTAATCAGGAAATCAAGTTTTAAAGAATTTTCTATTTTAACATGATAATTTGCTCCTTAAACCTGGGTGTTCATGGGTTTTAGAGCATTGTTTGGGGGATTGGGGTAGAAACCTACTGTACTATGTTTTTGTTTTTGTTTTTTCATTTAAAATGGTGAGATATCAGCTCACAAATACAATTTTTTGACTAAAGTTAATTTTCAGGGATATTTGCAACTGGATTCAGTTGGAAGAATGAATCATTTCAGGTGCTACCATCAGACTCTATGTATGCAAGTGTTAATCACTTTCCTAAATTTGAGGCAAAGGATAAAATCAAGAGATGAGATGGGCTGACAGTCTCTCCACACTTCCCTGTTTCTCTCTTCCATGAATATTTTTCCAAATATCTTCCCAAATATTCCCAGGAGGCCTGATCTCCTGCATCCCTTCTGGGCTTTCTTTGCTTCTTTTTTTCAGCCTTCCCGGAACATCTTTTCTTGCTCCCCTGCCTTTCAGGGACATGGGAATTGGGCGCCTAGGAGCACTCAGAAAATGAAAAAAAACTCCGTCTTTGCCTGAAGGAAAGTGGGACTGATTGTGGGGAGAACTCCTTACATTGGAGTTCCAGCCCATGCCGGGAAGGGCCTCTCCCCCTCTGGGAATCTCTCTGAGCCTACATCACCTGTGTCCCTTCTCAGGACCTGGTTTGTTCTGCTCACTTGGGAGGCTTTGATTTTGCCTCTATCTTTTGCTCATGTCCTGTTGTAATAAATCTTCCTCATTTACTCTGGTGGGCTGCCTGGTGGCTCAGAAGGTAAAGAATATGCCTGAAACGCAGGAGATGGGAGTTCAATCCCTGGGTAGGGAAGATCCCCTGGAGAAGGAAATGGCTACCCACTCCAGTATTCTTGCCTGGGGAATTCAATGGACAGAGGAGCCACTCAAGCTGGATAGTAACTGGGGGAATGAAAAAGGAGATCCTTCATTGCCTCTACCTTCTTCCACATACACATTTGATAATCTTGTAAAATTAAGCATTTCATTGCAATTTACAATAGTTCATATTCAATTCAATAGTGGTACCACAATTTATTAAACTAATTTGATTTATTGACTTTCTTTTTTATTTTCATTTTAGACAAGATAAGAATAAATCATCTCTTAAATCAAGGATTAAAAATGCTCATGATTATTTTAAATGATTTTTTTCCCTCATTTTAAGAAAAATCAGAAGGTACTTCTTTCTGTAACAGTGGCTGCCTACAAAGAACTGGTTATGAACTTCCAGTATATGTAAGGAATCAGTAAGCAGTCACTTGGTTTATAAACCAAGAATATGGATACGCAGGAGGACTTGCTGAAGTTTCAAGTAATCTAGATATCATAATGTTTAACACATCCTTGGGAGAATGGCAATATCCAGTCTAAACTTGATTTAGACAGAAATATTTCAAAAGATTGAATAAGCACAACATCACAAATTTTTCCAAGTGTCCTTCTAATTCTCTATTCTTTCATTGCTCTGTGGGGAGGGCAATATTTTGATTTTATCTTAATCAAGTGACTGTCTTTTGAAAATATATGTGATGAAAATAAGTTTAAAAAAATCATGCCATCTAAATTTTAAGGTCTCACTGGAGCTGTTTCCATTCAAAGGAAGACTGAGAATAGCCATGAACTGTCTATGTAATAGACCTTCCCTGGTGGCTCAGAAGGTAAAGAATCTGCCTGCAGTGCAGGAGACTGAGGTTTGATCACCGGGTCAGGAAGATCTCCTGGAGAAGGGAATGGCTATCCTCTCCAGTATCCTTGCCTGAAGAATTCCGCAGACAAAGGAGCCTGGCAGGCTACAGTCCATGGGTTGTAAAGAGTAGGACAACTGAGCGATTATCACTTTCACTTTTACATTTACATAATAATCTGTGCTGAAGAAAACTACAAAGGAACATTCACTACATGAGTTTGCAGAAGAACTGAAAAAATTGGAAGAGTGATATTTTATGATGTTAGGAGTCAACAGCAAATTGACCATGAGAAAGTGAGTAATCTGTGGCTTGGAATCTGTAAAGTTAGGATGCCCCTCTTTACTGGAGAGATCTGTGTTTTTATTCTTTTGATGGTAGTGATATGGCAATTGTTCATTATTAAGGGAAAAAAAAGAAAATTTAATAATTTTTCACATCCCCTAACCCCAATTGGTTATAACTTTAAGTTTAACCTACTTCCAGTTCTCTGAATGTGTGTGTAGTGACAATTTCTGGAGACCTGAAAAGTGAAAGCGTTAGTTGATCAGTGGTGTCTGACTCTCTGTGATCCCACAGACTGTAGACAGCCAGACTTTTCTGTCCGTGGGATTCTCCAGGCAAGAATGCTGGAGTGAGTTGCCATGGCTTCTTCCAGGGGATCTTCCTAACCCAGGGATCGAGCTTGTATCTCTTATATCTGGCTGTATTGGCAGACAGGTTCTTTATTACTAGCACCACCTGGGAAGCCCCCTTTTGATACTGAGGAGGATTCAGTAGCCCAAGTTGCCGCTGGCAACTTTCCTGTGCTGTAACTAAGGAAGGCAGTTGAAAGATAAAGGATGTAAATAAAAGAGGATGCAGACAATAGAGTCCCAGAGAAATGACCCTTGAGCCCTGGACAAACAGACCTCAAGGTCTTCCTCACTGTTACATTTCAGTTATATGTCCAGGAAATACCTTTATTTTTATGAGCCGGATTATGTTGAGAGTTTTATTACTTTCCATGCCAAATGTTTTATCTGATATAATGAGTCCTCCAACAAGAGGAAGAGGATCTGGTTCCCACAGCTGTAGTGGTTCACCTGCCATTGAAGGGGGAACTCAACTACAATGAAAACTGGCACAAGACCAATCACTGTGAGCTTTTCAAACCCATGTTGTTACTTTAATTAGGGCAGAAAATCAAGACTCTTAGCATTGTGCAATCCTTAATTCATTTAAACTGATAGAGAAGATTTCAACAAAAATTGCTAAAGGAATATTTAGTTAAGGTAATCTATTTTAGGGCTTCCCAGGTGGTGCCAGTGGTAAAGAACTTTCCAATGCAGGTGACATAGAGATGTGGGTTCCATCCCTAGGTTGGGAAGATCCCCTGGAGGAGGGCATAGCAGCCCACTCCAGTATTCTTGCTTGGAGAATCCCATGGATAGGGAGTCTGGTGGGTTACAGCACATAGGGTCACAAAGAACTGGACATGACTGAAGTGGCTTAGCATGCATGCACAGTTTATCTTAGAAATAGGAAATGAAATTTAAGAAACATAAAAAAAGACAATGATCATTCATTTTTGTCTCTTTATTTGAGAAGCAATACCCTTTCATGAACCTTTCATAGTGTTCTTGGGTCCATATGGAAAATTTCGTCAGTGGTCTCATATGATAAATGTTTTTTTCCAAATTAGGGAACTGGTCCAAATATTTTTTTCACAATGGAAGCTTGTGTCAAAGGTGGGTGGTGATAAGGTGAATGACAGATTAGTGGTTTTAAAATATGCAGGTACACAAAGAGTCTGGATCTTGCCTTCAGTTAGGAAGGACATTAGTTTCCATTCAAAAAAATGTTAAGAAAAATCCTGCTAGACATTAAAGTCATACAAACTCCAGTCATGACTGAGGTCACAGTGTTTTAAGATTCAAGGATAGAGGACATACTGGGTCCTTTCTAATAAAGTGCCCTATAGAAATAAGCCAACATGTAGTTAGATGGACCAGAGATGGTTGAACATGGTGAGATATAAGTACAAAATTTGATAGGTATTAGAAAACTGTACTCAGTTTGACAGATTACATTTAGATCTGCCAAAACCACCAACAACCAAAACAGGTTTTCATTCTGATTATATGTTTTACCTATTTAATTAGATTATTAATTTGTTTGCATACATTTTATGAATATTAATAAAGTCTATTTATTATGTTTCACACTAATACTTTAGAAAGTACAGTTCTAAACATCATCACATACCTTAAGACTGGTTTCCCTATACCATCAGAAATGTGTCTTGGGGGAATGTGTGAGCAGTACTGTGAATGGAAGAGCAATGTCTTTATGTATCTACAGCCCACTTACTACAGAAGTAATGGTGATGTACTTAACCACAAATACACAAATATGTGTATATGGTTATTTCCCCAGGAACCTGGGTGAAATGAAGCAGAGACTGACCAAAAATTCTTGACCTCCCACTTCATCTTTCTCAATTTGTCTATGAGAACAAGGCAGAGAAGACAGTCAATTGAAGACGAATATTTTTATTGTGAACTTTGCAGGGTCAGGTTAGGGAACACACAAAAGAGCCTGAATTGAGTCTGGGGAGGATGGAGGTTCAGAATGAGGGGGTTGGGTTGGGGGTGTGAGGAGAATATCCCCTTCCATTGTGGGTCTTAATCCCTAGTTCCAATTTCATGATGAGTTGCACACCAGTTGCACACCAGTCAGGCTGCTGACTTCTCATCTGATCTAGTCCTTGAACTTGCAGACATAGGGTAATTTCAAATAACAGTTATGATCTATCCACTTGAGATATCCTGGAGAGACAGAAGAGCTCAAGTCAGTGGGGCTGGTGGAGCTTGAGAACCCAATGGAGAGGAATCCCAGATTCTGGTTTAGGCTTCAAAGACCCTCCCTCATCTTCACCAGTCTCCCACTCCCTGGGAAGAGGACTGAAAAAAAGAAGAGATGAGAGGGAATGGGAGAAGACAAGCCAATATTATAGTTCCAGCCCAGGAGGATTCCCTGAGAAGATCAGACCCAGAAATGGCAGGTGAGGGGATGGAAAAGACTGGACAAAAATGACCTTCTATGTCTCTTACCTGAGCTGCTTGAGAGACTCCCACAGTAGCCAGGGCTTGAGATGGCAGCAGGATCTGTATCCCAGGCAACATAATTGAGCACGTCAGTGCTAATCCATTCCCATCCGCCAGCATTGGGCTCAGAGCCCTATGGAGCAGAGGATGGAGTTGGGTGAGATAGAAAGGCCTTTAAAATTCTCTTGGCCTGATGCTGTCTGTTGGAATGATTGATTCCCCTCCCCAGCATCACGGAATTAGCTCTGCTGTTTAAGATGAGGCCCCACAGCTCTCCTCTGGGAAACTCTCCTTAACTCTATTGGCTAATTTTATAGCCAATAATCACAGAGATCAATTAAATGTCTCAGAGGAACATGGCCCTATCTGAACTACACTTGGGGTGCATTTATGTTTACCATCTGAACCTCCAAGATAGTGTCTGTTTTATAAAAGGGAAAACTGCATCAATCCTAAACCTTCATTGACGTGATAAGCACAGCATGTGCAGACCCAGGCAAGCACAATGAACTGAATTACAAGGTATGCTGTGTGAACTGTGTAAAAGCTTGACTAAAGGCAGATTACCTTTAGCTGAGGACTAGGGACCTGCCCAGGACTAAAGGCTCTCACTTTCCCTAGTTATCCTGTGAGCTCCAGGGATCTCTCAGGTATTTTCTGGGCTGGCAAAAGGGAACAAAGAGGGACCTGGGTGGCCATAGCACCTTTGGAAGTAACAGATCAGAGAGATGTAAGTGTACCTCTGTGGGGTCATGGAGCCCAATCCAGATGTCTGATTGGGTATTCAAGTTGTTCTTAACCAAGGAGGCCACGAAGGAGTCCTCAGCCCCACTGAGCAGAGACACAAGATGTCCAGAGGGTCTTTTCTGGCAGGCAATCTGTATGGGGAAGGGGAATACACAGGAGGAGCTTGAGACACCATTAGGGGAAGGGAAGGGCCAATGCAGGTGAGAAGGGGTATGTCTATAAAACATGAGCTTTTCATCCTCATCCTCAGGAAACTCTTGAGAATGGAGAGCTCCTGGTCCCCAAACCCAGACTCAGATTTGTTTCTGCTTATCTCCCCTAACTGCAGATCCCAACGCTCACATCTGCATCCATCCAGGTTTTGGGTGTTTTAAACAAGGCATAGCAGTAAGACCTATAGGCCATGGAACCGGTGGGACAGCTGATCCGTGCAGAGGGCAGTTCCTTTTGGGAATTTTCCCCTAGAGAGGAAGAAATAAGGGAGAGGAATGGGGTGAAATGGAGAGAGGGGATTGGAGGGGGAAGATGACCTTGGGGAATATTTATGAGGTCAGGGCTTGGGGTGGTGATACCAAACTTCTGACTGCCTCTCACCATTGCCAACACTCCAGGATTTTTTATAAATCATGAACTAGACCTACTAATTGGATGATGATCTCTCTTCTTTTTATTCGTTGTCTTTATTCAAAAGTCCAGTCCTTCTCCTCTGAGTTGATCAATCATTTTCCTTCTACTCATCTCGTTAATGACACTCTACACTTTCCTCCTTTATCTATGCACATAAATTACTGAGAAAATAGAAATCACCTCACCCCATTGTTACTGAACCACTGGGGTGCTTCCCACCACTGGTTACCTGAAGGACGGAGTGATGACTCAGGAATTCCAGGGAGCTATGTTGTGTGGGGATATCCCATTACCAGGGGAGGCACAGGAGCTTTCCTCCTCGCCTTGGCCCTGAGCAGACACTGGGAACCCAGTGCTGGAGGCAGAGAAATCTCACCTTGGACCTGAGACAGGAGCATTAGGCAGAAGAGCAGCATCCAGGACAGTCTGGGGAGGCCCAGGGAAGGCAGCATTGTGTCCACAAGGTGTAGAGGATGCTAGAGAACTAAAGGGAGGGTGGTCAGAGAGAGGGCGTGAGAGACCCCCTGTTGTACCTCTTGTCTTTTCCTCCATCTAGTCCCCAAGGAATAAATCCATCTTGGTAGCATCTGTCCCCTTCCATGGTGCTGGAAAAAATTAGAAAATCTACACATCCTAGTGCACCTGAGATCTCCAAGTCTGGCTTCCCCTGGTCTCAGAGCTCCCTTGTTCTCTGAGGACAAGGGTCCTTGTACACCTTCCCTGAAATGTGCAAGGTGAAACCCCTGTCACTGGTCTCACCTAGTCTCGGCTCCCACTTACCTCTCTTGCAGGGATCTGCACTGGCTTGTCTGGGCAGAAAAGATTGGGCTTTTATAAGAAGGTTTGAGGGAGGGGCACTGAAATGAATGAGGGGGAAAAGGAGCCAGGACAGGGCTCAGGGGGACGTGTCTGGTTTTGATTTGTGGAGATTTCCACCACGGTCAGGAGATCCTTCCAAAGGCTGGGAATTGTCACAGCTGTTGCTTCTTTTTCTTCATCAGACCAGTAATTTCCCAGGAACAGGTGATGTTTGTGCATTTTTCATCCTTGCCAGTTATCTTGGCCTGAAAAACTTACAGGAGTGAAGGAAACCTGGTGGCATGAATTCTGATGTTTAATAGTTTAGAAAGTCTGTGACATGGGAGAGTTCAATCTGCCAGGAACTGACTCTTGTTGGCATATATATGAGTTTCATTAATCCTTGTCTTTTAAGATTAAAGAAAAACAAATTATGAAGTAAAAGTTGGGGGAGTATAACTTTGAAAAAAATTATTTGAACTAATGAGTCTTTGTGTGGATCACAACAAACTGGAAAATTCTTAAAGAGATGGGAGTACCAGACCACCTTATCTGTCTCCCAAGAAACTTATATGCAGGTCAAGAAGTAACAGTTAGAACCCAACATGGAGCAATGGGCTGGTTCAAAATTGGGAAAGGAGTATGTTAAGGCTGTATGTTGTCACCCTGCTTATTTAACTTCTAGGTAGAGCAAGTCCATCATGTGAAATGCCAGACTGGATGAATCACAAGCTGGAATCAAGATTTCCAGGAGAAATACCAATAACCTCAGATATGCAGATAATAAAGTGAAAAAGTGAAAGTGAAGTCACTTAGTCGTGTCCGACTCTTTGTGACCCTGTGGACTGTAGCCCACCCGACTCCTCTGTCCATGGTATTCTCCAGGCAAGAATACTGGAGTGGGTTGCCATTTCCCTCTCCAGGGGATCTTCCCGACCCAGGGATCAAACCCGGGTCTCCCGCATTGCAGGCAGACAGTTCAACCTCTGAGCCACCAGGGGAGCCCATGCAGATAATACCACTCTAATAAAAGAAAATGAAGAGGAAATAAAGAGCTTCTTGATGAATGTAAAAGAGGAGAGTGAAAAGCTGGATTAAAGACAATGTTCAGAAAACAAATACAATGGCATCTGGCCCCGTCACTTCATGGCAAATAGATGGGGAAAGAATGGGAACAGTGGCAGATTTTATTTTCTTGGGTTCCAAAGTCACTGAGGACAATGATTACAGCCATAAAATTAAAAGATGCTTCCCCCTTGAAATGAAAGTTATGAAAAACCTAAACAGCATGTTAAAAAGAAGAGACATAACTTTGCTGACAAAAGTCTGTCCGTCTAGTCAAAGCTATGGTTTTTCCAATAGTCATGTATGGAGTGTGAGAGTTGGACCATAAAGAAGGCTGAGTGCTGAAGAAATGATACTTTCAAACTGTGGTGCTGGAGAAGACTCTTGAGAGTCCCTTGAACAGATCAAACAAGGCAATCCTAAAGGAAATCAACCCCGAATATTCACTGGAAGGACTGATACTGGAGCTGAAGCTCTAGTCCTTTGGCCATCTGATGCAAAGAGCCAACTCATTGAAAGGACTGACGCTGGGAAAGATGGAGGGCAAGGGGAGAGGGGAGGCAGAGGATGAGATGGTTGGGTGGTATCACTGGCTCAATGTACATGAGTTTGGGGAATCTCAGGGAAAGAGAGAAAGACAGGGAAGCCTGGCGTGCTGTAGACCATGGGTTTGCAAGGAGTTGGACATGACTTAGTGACTTAAAAACAACGATAACAATGGGGGAATTTAGTAAGCATGAAGAATATGAGCTCAATACAGAAATTCTCGTAGAATTGTTATATTCCAACAAAGGTAATTTTAAGCAAGTTACTATTTTAAATAGGAAAAAAAATATAAAATATAAAAGAATACATCTGATAATAGTAGTCAAGATCTCGTAACAATTTTTTCAAGCTATAAAGAAGAACTAAATACATGCTGAAATTAATCATGTTTAGAAAGAAAGTTTCAATATCCTCAGGATGTACTTTGTTCCTGTATTGATTAATGGGAGTGCAATTGGAATACTAACAGAATTTTTCTGATAATCTGATAAACTAAAAACTCACAGGAAAAATAAGAATAGTTAACACATTTCTGAAAAAAAAAAAAAAAACAGTGAAAAATTTTATTTGGCCATGATTCAAAACTTCTTACTATAAAGGAGTACAACTGCAGGGAGAGCAAACTTGAGTAGTCTAATGAAAGAGAGAGCCCAGAAATATACTTATTATATGTGGAAATAGGAAATCTGGAGGGTCATTGCCGATCAGAAAGTATAAGCTAAAGGATTTGGTTTTAGTGGTTAGCCATGTGGACAGAAATAAATCAGATTCATACCCCTTAAAATATAAAAAATAACAACAACAACCAAAATAAAACAAAATCATTCCAGAAGAACTGAACTTTAGAAGAGAATATTTTAAAAGTGTGATTTTGATTTAAGAAAGCACGTGTTAAACAAAAAGCACAAATTATAAAATAAAATATTGCTAAATATGACCACTTTAAAATAAAAATAAAATAGCAAAGTTAATATGTCAAAAAAATAAGTATGCGTTTCACTAAAGAAGAAGCAAAGTGATCAATATGTATATGAAAGTATGTCAACCTCATTAGCAATCAATTAAATTAAAATCAAAATGAAATATAATTTCATGCCTACCAGATTGCTGCTGGTGATAGTGTAAACTGATAGAACCCTTTGGGAAAACTGGAATTTTCTTGCATGCTTAGTTGCTAAGTCATTTTCAACTCTTTGTGATCCCATGGACTGTATCTCACCAGGCTTCTGTCCATGGAGTTTTCCAGGCCAGAATAATGGCGTGGCTTGCCATTTCCTATTCTTCTGGACCCAGGGATGGAGCCAGCATCTCTTGAGTCTCCTGTATTGGCATTTTCTTACACCCAGATCATCCACTTTTAGGAATATACAGCTGGCATGTTAATGCCAGGTAGAATGTAATACACAGGATGTTAATAGCGTCATTATTTATAATGGCAAAAAAAAAAAAGAAAGCAAAATGTCCATTAACAGGAAGCTGGATGAGTAGTTTGTGGTTTAAATAAGCAAGATATCTGAGTGAAACTGAGTGAACCAGTTACAGGCATCAGCATGGTTTAACTTCAGAGATATATAATAGGTTGAGAAAAAGATATCAAAATATAGAAGATTTCAAGCTGTGTAATTTTGTTGTTTTAAACATCAAAAACAAAAATTAAAAAAGGATTATGTGTGATTTAGGCATACTTACACATATTAAAATATTTTAAGAGGAAGGAAATAATAAACTCAAAATTCTGAATTGTTGGTTCTGAATGAAGGGAGAAGAAAATTGTTGGAACTGGACACAGGAAGCTTTAAGTATATTAGCAGTGTTGTACTTTTAAAATATAGTAGTAGTTTATGTGTAACTTTGTTCTGTATTTTTCAGTCTCCTATAAACGTGTTACCATAATTTAAAAAATTTAAATTAAATTTTAAAAATGTGTTACTGTATTTAAAAAATAAAAAAGAAAGAAAAATATAGTAGTTTATTTTTTTTAAATTGTTCTTTTAATCATATATATGATATTTTTATTGTCTTCTCTATAAAATATGTGATATTGAAAATGAGAGAAAATGGAATTAAGTAATGTAAGAAGACCAGAAATGACTTTAAATGGTTTTTAACTTATTGGAGTTAGTCCATATAAATCAATCTAAAATGATTGTTGAATTTCAAATAAATGTTTCATCAAGATATTGGCCAAGTTATAGTCATCTGCAGACTTGAGTGGGGATGGACTATCCACTTCCAAGATGGTTCGTTAACTTGCTAAATTTGTGCTGGTTCTTGGCAGAGGGCTTCAGTTCCTCAACACTTGTATCTTTACATAGAGTTTCTGGAGGGTCCTTGCAATGTGGTGATTAGCTTCCTCCAGCACAAGTGATCCAAGGGACAGAAATGAAAAAGCTGTAATGTCATTTAAAACATAGTTTCTGATGTTGCATGTGGTCATTTATGCAGTGTCTTGTTGGCTTCATGGGTTAGTCCAGTCCCATATGGTATGGGATAATATAAGGGTATAAATACTAGGAGATCATTAGGTCTTATCATAGTAGATTGCCAACCTAGGTGGGACTTGGTACTTTATCAGTCAGAAGTCCTATAAAAGAGGTCTGGTCCTTTCCTTTTTTTTTTTTTTTCCTTTAGAAGATACTTCTGAATCTATGTAATACAGACCGTTTTTATCTGGGAGGAGGAACTTCACTCAATTCCATCCAATATTCCTCAAGCTTCAAATAAACTTGGATGAGTGTGAGAGCAGGAGAGATAGTGTTTATCTGTGCCAGCTACAGAATCTGATGCCCAAGGACCTACCTATTCAAAATATTCAGTTATAAACTGAATTTATCATCCCTCTCCTGCTTAAAACCTTTCAATAATTTATCCATTATCTATTTTTGTGACTAGCTATTATGGCACAGCAAACTATCCCAATTTAGTGACTTAAAGCAATAACTAATGAAACAATTTATTATTATTTCTCGTGGTTCTGAAAGTTAACTAGGCTTAGTTATACAGTTCTTCCTGAGGGTTTCTCATGCAGATAACAACTGGAGCT